CCGGTTCGGCAGGCAGGCACGCAGCCCGGCCCAGTCCGAGCTCACGTCGGATCCTAGGAGCTACCTCCACTCCTAGGACCCGACGTGAGCCCGAACTGGGCCGGGCTGCGTGCCTGCCTGCAGAACCGTATTGGGAATCTCTCTTCGGACAGGCGCAAGCTGGGACTGAATGCTTGCAGTGCTAACCCATTATTGATTAATTGTGTAGTTGACAACATTTTTATTGACTACATAATTAATGAATTAAGCACTTCTTAACATCCCTAACTGAGGTAGATGTTAATTAGAGTATTGTACATTTAAGATTAGCTAAAAGAAGATTGATATGTCTAAGAAGTCTTGGTCTGCTGATTACAGGTGTCTAATAAAATACCAGCATACATTTGAGATATAAAAGCAATTCATTAAGAGAAAGTATGGTCTGGCGATTAAAGCATAGAAGTGGGTATTGGAAAGCTGAATACCCAGGTATTGTATTACACAAAAGGGCGCTGTTGGAAAATAGTATTGTGTAGTGATCTACCTCCTGTCTCAATGACTTCATCTCAAATGTGCTCAGTTTACAAATAAAAGGCGAAGCTTACGATTGTGTATGTGTGGGCAAATATAATTAAAGAATTCATCGCAAATATCTGGAAGATAAGGTGATAGGTAATAGCCAGCATGGATTTGTAAAGAACAAATCATGTCAAACCAATCTGATAGCTTTCTTTGTTAGGATAACAAGCCTTGTGGATAAGAGGAAGTGGCAGATGTGGTGTACCTACACTTCAGTAAAGCTTTTGATATGATCTCGCATGACCTTCTAATTAATAAACTAGGGAAATACAACCTAGATGGGGCTACTATAAGGCTGGGTGCATAACTGGTTGGATAGCCATTTTCAGAGAGTAGTTATTAATGGTTCACAGTCATGCTAGAAGGGCATAACAAGTGGGGCTCCACGGGTCAGTTTTGGGGCTGGTTCTGTTCAATAACTTCATCAACAATTTATATATTGGCATAGAGAGTATGCTTATTAAGTTTGCAGATGATACCAAGCTGGGAGGGGTTGCAAGTGCTTTGGAGGATAGGGCCATAATTCAAAATGATCTGGACAGACTGGAGAAATGGTCTGATGTAAATAGGATGAGTTTAACAAGGACAAGTGCAAAGTACTTCACTTAGGAAGGAACAATCAGTTTCACACATACAGAATGGGAAATGATTGTCTTGGAAGGAATACTATTAGAAGCATATTATGAGCTGGGCAGGTAGCCCAGCTCAGTTTTGGCTCATGCTGGGTCTGGGCATTCAGCCCACTCCCTAGACAGGCGCTGCTGCCACCCTGCGCTGCTGCCTCTTTATCAGAGGCAGCAGCACAGGGCGACAGGCAGCTGGTCCACAAGGGGAGCTGGTTTTTAAATTGGCTCCCCTCACCAGCTCCCACCTGGCATCCCCCACTGCTGTCTCTGATACAGTGGCAGCAGCGCGGAGTGGCAGGGGTCTTCTTGGGAGTGCACTGACTGCCGGCCCCGCCCCCAGGGACTATAAAATAGTCAACAAACCGATAAGAATTCATGAGGTTACTCGACTGTTCAATTAACCGATATTTAACATCTTTAGTTACAGCTGTACAACCTTATTACCTACAGTGAGGATTGCACAGGTGTAACTGAGGGAAGTGACTGACCCTGCAATTAGGTCTAGGAATACTGTTAAATGTTCTGATGCATAAGCCAGAAAAGAATCCAGTTTATTTTTCCAGTGGTGTGTGGCTTCTGCAGAGCTGGCAGTAGTGATACCTTGCAGTAGTGTGTGAATATACATGAGTCTCTTGAATAAGAGTGCTGTGTATACTGAGAGCTAAACTTTATCCTTTCTCTGCCTCAGTCTTTCCATCTCAAAACTGATGGGGTTACTACTTTGCTTCCCCGTGAAGGTGTTGTGGATTAATTGTTTGTAATGCATTGGATGAACAGTACCATAGAAACACTGAATATTTTAGATAATACTGTAAAGTGGACAAACAACTTTTCATTAATAGTGATTGAGTCTACAGTTTAAAATGTGGCTGGATTCCTGTGTTACTCTGTATGGGCCATATTATGTTCCAGGATCTCAGAAGCCAAGGGAGTGATGGTGTTGGTCTTGAGAGTAGAGTTTGGTGTATCTGTCATATTTTAGTATGTTATTTTGATAATATACCAGATAGAAATTTTTTTCCATGCTCTTCAGTTGCAGGATGGTCAGAATGAACTTAGAATTCTTGTTTGGTGCTGCTGAACTTTGCCATGCTGAAAAGTTGCTTAAAAATTATAAAAAATAATGGTGTAAAATAGCAAAAACCAGCCATAAAATAGAACTATGTTGGATGTGTTAGTTTGGTCCTGACATTTTAAGATAAAAAACTAACTGCCATCCTTGTCATATGTAAGAGAGTGACACTGCTGGGAAGTGCCTGGGGCATCCAAGGGCAATATGTGGCCCTTAATATGATTTTATGTAAATACAGTTTTCAGATTACATCTCTGAACTATTAAGATGGGAATGGCTTCATTAGAGCTGTTTCTGACTCAGCTAAATAATTGGGCCATTTATTCTGTTATACACATTACATTCATCTCCAATTATTTGATTGGAACTTGCAAGCATGCAACAGAGGGCTTTAATTCCTGAAAGTAAAAAATTGACCTGTTCAGTCTAGTGACTGGCCATTCTCAGTATTGAATTTTGTTCAGTGGTGTGTTGCATTGCATCTACCTATACTTGCATGTTGTTCTAATGATGTGGATGACCCTGTGCAACTCTGTTGTAAGGAATTCATGGCTCTTTGTACTCTGTTGAAAGTGTGGTATGACCTTTGATTTCCTTCATGAATTGGCTATGCTGTGCAATTCTTATCTTCATGAGATAGGGCATGGACCAAACTCATTATTATAGAATAGTGATAGAAATGTAGCCGTGTTAGTCTGGGGTAGTTGAAGCAAAATGCAGGACAATGTAGCACTTTAAAGACTAACAAGATGGTTTATTAGATGATGAGCTTTCGTGGGCCAGACCCACTTCCTCAGATCAAATAGTGGAAGAAAGTAGTCACAACCATATATACCAAAGGATACAATTAAAAAAAAGAACAAATATGAAAAGGACAAATCACATTGCAGAACAGAAGGAGATTATAGTGATTGATTTTTGCTTTTAAAAAATCTTTCTTGACCTCGTGATTAAAAAACATTTGAGCTACACCTTTTTATTATGCTCTTTTGCAGAATTGATGTCATTCTTTTAAAAATTACTTTGTGTATTTTGATTTAAAAAACAAAACACTTATATGCACATTCCTGAATAACCCTATAGAAAAAACAGATCTAAGAGAGTTTTTTTTTCTTTTTAAGCACGGAAACATTTTCATTTGTCACTTAAGAGAAACATAGATGAAATACTTGGAAAAAATGTAAATTCTTTATAAGCTGCCTACCATTTTTCAAAGCGCACCAAGAAAATACTCCTTGATAAAGCCCATACTTCACATGCTAGTCATAACAAACACTGAGGCTTTGTCTGTGCTTGCAGGGTGCTTTAACACCCTCCTCATGGGACGTAGCGCCCAGTGTTGGGAGCCTGTCTGGACTGGCAAGTTACTGCACTAAAACCTGCTATACTCAGGGTGGTGATTTTTTTACACTCCTGAAGGAGAAAGTTTCAGCACAGTAACTTGCTAGTGTAGGCAAGCCCTTAGATCTTGTTTATACTACAAAGGTAGGTTTGTCAGAAAAGTTATGTCACTTTAATTAAAATCATTCTTTCATGTTTACACTATGCTCCTTGTGACCGCAGACTACATCCACACTAGCAGCTCTTTTATTGATAGAGCAGTGCACTGTGATAACTATCTTATTGTGCAATTGGGTACTTTGGGAAGACTTTCAATATTTCATGGGTCAGCAACAGTGTCACATGATGCAGGTTTCTCAATCTCATCCTGCACCCTACCTCCTGGCCAGACCCCGCATCCCACCCCTTGCTGCCATTGGTGGTTGGCTGGTGGTTCACAGAAAAGTCTGTGTTGAGCTGGGTGGGCCTTGGGCCAAAAAGTTTGCATTAGTGAATATCACAGAAACAAAAGAAGCAAGAAGGGGTGTGGTGGGAAGAACATGAGGGTATGTCTCTCACTTGTAATTCCATTCCACACAATCCAGTGTGTTTACCTTCAGTACTGGGAGCTTAGCAGGAGCCTTATTCCTATGGAAGAAACAGGTGTTGTTTTGATTACAAATGTTTGTTGCTCTCAGATTTTTGTAACCTGGGACGTGGTTCGGATCTGTGAGGCATCCATTCACCTCATCTTTTCGTGTGTCTTTCATGCCAATTCTGGGGAGTGAAGAATGCAAGGGAGATGAAAGTTGGTTTATGAGAGAGCTGAGATTATTTTTTGGCTTCCCCATCTGTGCTAGTACAGTTTTTCTGCTCACCTAAGTACTCAAGTCTGCTTTAGCACATCAATTTGTGTCACTTGTTGAAACAACATCATATCTACAGTAGACCCCAAGGAAACAAATTGTATTTTGTGTGTTCATAAGGATAAATGTAACCTAGACACACAAACATAGGTAACTTCCTTGAACAAACAAAGATGATCAAAATCCAGCACTCATCCCCCAGAATATCATTACTGTGACCACTGGGCATGTAAATGGTACACTGGCATTGGGTACTCATATGCTCTATGAGCAACTTAAATAGATATCTCTTCCCTAGTAATGCCTTCTCACTTCTACATTTAGACAATAGTCTTAAGCACAGTACCAGTCTTTATTGGACAGATTCAAATTATATATAAATTACAAACACCTAGGTCAATTTATTAGTTGGGATGGGCTATGATTTTTGAAGAGGATTCTGTAAAAAATGTAGTGTTAGTTTGAAGAAAATATTCAGCATCTTATCTGAGTGCATTTGTAGTACAGGCAGTCCCCGGGTTACGCGGATCCGACTTATGTCGGATCCGTACTTACGAACGGAGCTTTTCTCGCCCCGGACGACGCAGGCGGCAGGACTGCCCAGACGTGCCGTGGTCTGGCGCCCGCGTCCTCCGGGGCGAGAAAAGCTGCTCCACGTCTCCGTGGTCTGCTGGGGGCCGCCTCCCGGAGCAAAGCCACGGAGGGGCTCCCCCCGCGGGGGGGCCGAAGCCAGGCCCC